CTTTCTGCATACGCTCTACCAGCGGTAAGCAAACATTTCATCGACACGTTCTTCCACGCTCATTTGGCACCAGATATCACTGGGAACTTGTCAAGGAGATGTACAGGGAGGTGGGAATAACCTTCCATCAGGCGACGGCAGACAAAGATTTGGCGGTAGTGGCGGTCCAAGACAAGGACCACCGGATAATAATCATGGCAGTCACCAGCCCGGTCAGAACGGTCCAGAAAACGGTCCTCCTGAGATGAACGGGGATCAGAGTGGCCACGATGCTCAACATGGAGGACGACAAACCGGACATGTTCCTTAAAACGGACAACCACAACCCCAGAACGGGCAGAACGGCGCCCTTGGTGGCAACGGCGATCCCGGTGGAAATGTACTCAATGTACCACCCAGCGGTGACCACCAGCCCCGGAGTAGATATAGTGGACCTGGGCAGGAGGATGAAGGTGAATGGCAGAACGGTCAAGGCGGTCCACCAGGTTAGAATGGTAGCGTACATCGACGCAGTGATTAGTACCAGCGGTTTTGCTTTGTCTTCGCCTGCAGTAGATTGAATGTCTGCGATGTTGCACTCTTGATCCCTGTTCGCAGGCTGGAGTCTGACTCCAGTTCTCAGGTTGCCCGTGCCGAGAAAGGAGTTAGACGATAGATGATGGATCGTGCGGGATGAAATGCGTGCGAGGGGACGAACCAAGGAAGGAATAAAAGCTCTGGGGCGTCAGGCATAGCGTGCTAATAACCAACAGGCCGTTGGCAACTGAGCATCGATGAATGGGATCATCGACATACCAATGGGATTCTTCACGACTGATGACGTTCAAATGATCTTTCCAGGCATCGGCGCTGATGCTTGGAAGTATATCATGATCAATCATATCGTGGTTCTCGATTTGACTCGCCGCCAAAACGCTGACTACCCCGTAACTCTCGCCGCCATCAACTCGGGCTTGATTACCAATGAGAGAACAGGCGTGGAGTGCGAACTCGACAGGTTCGTTGTCTTGAGCGTCGAGTGACGGGCGAGTATGGAAGTGGGCGCTACCCTCCCATTAGGGACCATGGGACAATTATTCTTCGTCTTCGTCGACTTCGCTGGAACATCGTATATTGATCGATTACGGCGAGAATAGACTTAGCATCGACATCGTAGGACATGTCTCGAGAAACAATTAGCAAAGCATTTAGGCAGTAAAGAAGGTAACGTACTTGGTCATGGTGAAGGAAGACTGGGGCTCCAAAATTCGAACCGAGAGAAGTCCCGAACATACTGCTTGGTCGGTGAAAAGGCGGTACGGCGTTGAGACGTCCAGCTGCCGGTAATGATGAAGCAAATCCTTAGGTTCGGGTCATTCTAACCCCTCCCGCAGTCAGATGCAGCTAGATTGCAGCTTCTTGTTACCAGAATGGTGCTTCTTGGAAAAGGAATTGATGACTACAATGCCTCCTCCTCCTTTCTCTACGTCGCCAGAAATGCGGCTTCGATGCCCGAAGGTGTCGTAAACTCTGTATGTGTTGACCAGACCCTGGCGCTACCACATATTAGATGGACAGTCAGCATTGACTGTAAAGTAGCCTCTATGTGAGTGGCAAAGCAGCCTAATGCAGCAAACAACGTACCTTTTGTATAAAATTTCCGTCACCCAACGCAATGCGATGAGGAGACGCAACAAGCTATATTTTCCCAATCAATCCAGGTCATTTCCGAATGAACAACGAAATTTGTCAAGACGAAGTGGCCGGAATCAGATGAAAAGTAGCTCCTCTTAATGGACAAGGCCCCTCTACGTTGACTCGACTGCATGCCGGCTCCTGTAGTTCCAATAATAGGGCGCGTGAAGTTGAGGCCCCTTTGCCATGCGATATCGAAACGTGACAGTGCTGATCCCTACCCCCACAGTGAAAAAAGAAACACATTAAATACACAAAGACGTACCTTCATCATACTCCGCTCTGATCAACAACTTGTAAAGATAGTTAATTGCATCCCGGCTCTCTCGCAGCCACTGTCATTCGTCCGCTACCTTCTTGCGTGAAGTCTTGAACTGTAGTGTTATGTGTTCGTCGCGGATGGTGATGCTATGGCCAGATAATAGTACCCGCGGAGTTCGCAGTGATTCGGGTCATGAACAAAGTTTCTGTCGGGTAAAATATTGTGCATTAGAAACAAATATTCGTGAGAAGCCGTAATACACACGATCCGACAATGGAAACGTCCAGGGAGCACCCACGATAGAGCCACCAGCCCAATCTAGCCTTATTCCTGAGTCCATAACAACATCAGCACATTTGGGTAGGGAATGGCGCATGAGGAACCAGGTCCCAGAAATGTGGGAAAGTGTACCATCTCTTCCAATAATTTCAGTGCTGCAGCAGCCACAATCGAGGATAGCTAATACCAATGTCATGTTGGTTCAACAGCCGCAATTGTGACTGTCACAGTGACATCACGTCGGCCCGTAGCGTCCCGCTGACTCATCCGGCGCTGACTGTTGGGTGACTGACAAATATTCAACATTGTACAACATACCATCAGGCCTTTTCTGTATGATTATTCCTTGTAGCTCATTTATTGCTACATAGATCTCCGTACCGGGAAGTTGCTCGAAAGACGAACTTCTCGTGAACTTCCATCTAACACTTGTTTTTCGAAGTTAAAGCTGCAACAGGAACCAGGGGTGTTTTTTGTCTCTTGCAGATATATCTTTCTCTGATGCTCAGCAGCATCCTTTAGATCCTTTCCAAGAATAAGTCGAACTGGGTATTGAAACTAGAACTACTGATTTCTGAATATCACCGACGCTCCTCTAGACATTTTAGGCATTTATGGGGGCTCAAATCCTAGACCTACACTGAAAGGACTCTTTTCTGCGCATTCGTAGTATCCGACTTCTGCGAATATTTGATACGATTGTCTTCGTTTTTTCTGGTAACCCTCCAACCTTCACCTTGCATCACCAGAACTGCGCATGCTTTGAAGTACGTCCTGCGCCATTTTTCTGGAAGGTAGAACTTATATGCAGTCTCTCAGGTAGGTATTCTTGGTTTGTCGTTTGAAGAATAAAATAATGGAAATCGCGGCAACGTGCAAGTTCGGGCTATGAGACCACACAGTCTGCAACTAGCTTGAAGTCAATCGCTGGGAAGATTTCCTCTAATTGTTACATTGTTGGTTGGGCCATGCGTCGCGGCTTATAGCAAATCGAGGTCAATATTCTTCATGTGCAGGTAAGATGACATTTGTGATATCCTACATTAGATCCACGGAAGAAAAGGTGTTTAAGTAGCAAAATTTCCCTTCATGTCGAAATCATTGGGCCCGAGCACAAATGAGGACGGCGTTGATGGCTGAGAGTCTTCGATATTGTAGGAATATAAGGAAAGCGACAATCCCTTAGGGCGGGTGGATGACGAAGTTGATACACTGGCTTCGCCGTTCCCACTTGATGATGGGTCCTGAAGACTGGGCGTGCCCCAAAACTTCGTGGGGTCAACATCGAAGTCCAGCAGCGAAGTTTTGGAGCTTTCTCCCGGAACAATCGGCCAAGACCAGGTTGGCACGAATTCCATCATATGGCCTGCGTCGACGGCAGGTTCGAGCTGTTTAGCGGAGTACACGGGAGAATAAGGATCCTCGATGTAATTATCCCAATAGTCCGGTGGGAAAAGATTGTCCAACGAGGAGTCCCAGTCTAGGGAGGGGGCGCCGGCGGATTGAGATTGCTGGTCGACCGTGTCATCTTCATACAGAGAGGAGAAGATGTTCCAGCTGGCCTCGTCACTATTGACAGGAATGTTGGCTTCATGTTCTGTTGATTGTCCTGCTATGCGCTCATTGCTATGATGGGTTTGTTCGTGGAAGTCGCAGTTTTCGATGCGGACGTAGTTTTCGTCACAGAAGCTACATTGTAGACGCTAGAATATAAATATTGTATTGGAGATAGAACAATCGGGAATGGTGCCACTATAGGTCACCCTGATATGATGACACTCACGTTTTCTCTGGGGTTTGATTCCATGACTACTGACATGGATGATGGAGAAGACCAAGGGCGAGTAAAACGAAGGATATAGGCTACGCAGGCAGTTGGGGAGAGAGCTAGCGTCTGAGTAGCCTTCTTTATAAAGGCTGGCGAGGGGTCAGGAATTTGGGTGTTAGGATCTTGACTTCTATGGACACAGCTGGATACTTATGCGGGCGGGTAAAAGCCTGACAAAAGCTGCATTTTATCTTCAAGATCAGCAATCGGGAACCAAGACATTTACGCTTTCTATTCTGAGACGACTTTGCCCCCGTGCTAGGACGGTTCGGAGCACAATGGACATACTTAGGGGAAGGATGTCATCAAATCAGTGGAGGCACAAAGAATACAATGGTCTTACTGACCTCAGAGAACCCACATTTCAATTCGTACAATGCGAGCGCGCAGAAAGAAAGCCCAAATCAAGCGAAGCATAATGTCTGGAAAAGCAGGAATGTCTGTTGTCTAGGCAACTCGAATAATTCCTTGACTGTACGATGGCTGAAGCATCTCACTCGGGGAGCCTGTGACCAAACAATGTCATTCTGCAGTATAAACGTATTTCAAGTATTAGATAATAGATCCATTGGCAACCGATTAAACATTCCAAAGACGGGTAACTCAGTCGATTGGAAGGAGGGAAGGAAATAGTTTTTAGTGGTCGCCGGTGCTCCTGAACAGAAACGTACTGATGTCTGTACTACACTACAGGTAGCTATCTAAGAAGTGTACTGATATTGAAATGAAGAGATTTAGACAGGACGAAAGTAATGCCACACTTCCCCAATATCGAAGTCGTCGTCAATTCCTTGACACTGACGGACGCAAAAACAATCGTTCACAACTTCATATGACGCCACATCGCAGTATATCACACAGCATAGGGCCTCTGGCCCCAGTACTAGGGTTTTCTTCTGAAAATTTGGAAATTTAAGAAAAATATATGCCATGGCTGTTCCACCGGTAAAAGATATGTACCGACGACGAGGATCGAACTCGCAACCTTCGCCTCCGGTGAGGACAGAAAGTATAGGAAAGCGACGCGCTACCATTGCGCTACGACGGCCCAAATTATTATTCTTGTTGAAGGGTTAGAGTAGGCTCCTTTAGCCAACTTACCCGAGACTATAGCTGTGGCTGAGGGCAGGATTTCGTACGAATTTAGGAGTCAGGATACAAATATGCTCAGAACTTGAGGTAATCAGGAGTACATGTTACTATCCTGATGAAAGGCATGTCCTACACTATCTGCTCATTTCAGGCCACAAGCACCCCTACCTCGAGATTGACGGACTGCAATGTTTGAAAACCTTGTGCCTCCGGACGTGGACTTCTAAGATATACTTGACAAACTACAACGGCTTGAATATCGCCTGAACGCAGCTTCCCTTGATGAAATATTGTCGCCGAAGACTCTCAGCCCGACTCTCGACTAGGGTAGAATCACATAGGCCGAACCGACTTCGTTTTCCTCATCGTAGAAGTAAAAGGAAGGACCTTGAAAGCGGTACTGGGGTAGACTAGATTGACTTCGAAGTGGTTCATAATGCGCTGATTGCTTCAGTTGATCACGGTGGAAATTAGCGCTCTGGAAATTGAAGGTGAACCATCATTGATATTCGATAATTGACCAAGACGGTGTTATTGACTCATTCTTACTATGCCCCTAAATTTTGCTAAATTTGGACGTTCTCCGTTTTGAATTTCATGGTAAATACAGTAGTAGCGATTGACAATATATCATCTTCAATTCTTACGGTTTCCATGGAGTAATATGTGGGGAGGGTCTTTCTCCATCGATGTCCTTACGTGAAAGTGAAGACTTGAAGACAGCTTCTTGTTACAGAATTCAATTGCGCATACGCCTACGTTGGCTCACCAATGTCTTTCTGCCCTTCTACAGGCGTATCCCCAGCATAGAATTCTTTGACGGGAGCAGGGAATATAAAAGCTAGCACACATCGAAAAGCTTTTCCCCCAAGGATTTTCTACGCAACATATCGACACAGACAAGATGCAGATGTTTGTTTCCCACTCCATTGAATGTCAACAGCTTAGCTTTTGTCCGACTAACACGCATACCACTCTCTGGTCCCATCTTTCGACCCAAAACCATTGGTTTTCAACTGGGTCACCTTGGTCGTCGAGAATGAAGGTAGCATAGCAACTGTCATTGAACACACTTCCACATTTTGAGCCACTTGCTTATTTGAAACAGACCACGACATCCACTTCCTTACACGAGAAATCCAACACGTGTGTTCGGGGAGTAGTAAAGCGCCTGTTGATCAGGACCGTGGAATTGGAAGCACCGGCGGACAGCGAGGGTTATCACTAATTAAGGTGTTGATATTTCTTGCACATCTATAATCTACTAGTTCTTTTGAGGGATTAGTACTATACACAGTAGTTTGTCGCTCGTCCATCAATAGGAAGCATCTCAATACCTGGGCTACCAGTAGAAGCTACTCGGACCACATCATCTGAAAATTCCAAGTTCATTCTAAGGTTTGTGAAACAAAAATGGCACTAGGAAAAGAGCACGGAGCTTCTGAAACAGGCTAGTTTCAATCGACATCTACGAGCGTTATGTAGCCGGAGCGGAGCTTACTCGATATCTTCGATTCGCACCCGCCGGAGTGGTATAGCGGTATTAATCGATTGCGAAACGACCCTATTAGAACCCTCATACCTTCCAGATTCATCAACGTCCGGCAGGTTCCTGACACATTTAGGTCGCCGTGTCTTCTTGATCGAAAGCGCGCTGAGAATTCGACGATCCGGTTATCATTATCCAGTCGGCAATAAGAATTATCATAACCCTTGCAAATCATTTCGGTGCCGTTTAATGCTTTAATGTAGACGGTACTGTGATGGAGCGAAGCAGGATCATGATAAAGTCCAAGTGTTACCTTCTATTATGTGCTACGAAAAATGAAAGATACATATACAACAACAATGGCACGAATATTACTACTTACATGATCAACAGATTGTCAAATACACAGAGCGCTGCATGTCAGGAAAACTATACGTACAGTAATAATATCGATCGTAGAAGAAAGTCACGCCACGGCGACAGAAACTGCAAGCAAATAATAAAAGAGAAGACGCTCGCCCGTCGTAAAGACAATCTTGTGTCAGGTATGCCGGTGAGATGGGGTCTAAGAAAAAGAAAATACAAAGGTCCAAAGTGAAGCTTGAGAGTCTGTAATCCCAAAACATGTAGACGTCTTCATATAGCAAAATTCACATCATGCCCCAGGGTCGGTGCGCGCCTCCTCGTGGGACGCTTATGCTGCCCACGTCTGGACTCCGCAGGGTACTCGCACTTGAGCTGTCTTCTAGCGCACTGACTACAAATAAAATGTCAATCAGTAGACATTGAGGCGTAGCATCTTCGATACCCACTTGCACGTCATATCCGCACTGCCCTCCATGGGCCTCCCGCAGGCGATCTTGCGCCCTCTGCAAAAGAAACAAGCCAAGTTGCTGGACTTGTTCTGCGGACCACTGTTACTTCCCGTACTTTCCCTCCTGCCGAGATTCAGCACTGGAGGGGACGGAGAGTCACCGTTCGTATTGGGTGACCACCCCATGGGACCAGACATCCGCTCGATTTGGCCAGAGTAAGACTGGCCTGCCATATCCTGCGCGTCGGTATTGAAAAAGCCGTGCGTGGACGCCGGAAAGGATGGGATAGGTGAGGCGATCGCTTCAGCGAAGGATTCGGTGTAGTTAAAGTGCAGATGATTCGGAACCGTATGGAGCTGGTGCTGCTGGGGAGAGTTGATGTACTAATTTCACATCAGCTCGAGGAGATGCGAAAGGAGACTCATGACTTACTTGGGACGACCGGCCAGTTGGATCCGCAAGGCCAAAGGTACTCGAAACCCCATAAGAAGTGTACTCATCGAGGAGGGTCGGTGCCGGTATGATATTGCGGTTCTGCCACGATCCGCGTTCGCTGTCGTCACGAAGAGAAACGTAATTTCCGCCCATGGGGTACTCTGTATGCGATGAAAAACCCGAAACCCCGGCCGCAGCTGTTGCAGTCAAGGGAATATGGGAGTAAAACTGAGAGTCCTATGGAAGTGTTAGGGAAAACAGTTCATATTGAGGGACCGAAAAGCGTACTGTTCTCTGCTGCAAGGGTCTCCGCGTAAACAGGGTCGTACTGGAGTCGAAATTCTGACTGAACGGAGACGACGCGCCAGTATACGCACTTTGGTGGGCGGAGGTCGCGCCTGCAGCCCCGCCTTGTATCGAGAAAGGTTCTAAATCACAGTCGAGCCCGTAGCCTCCCTGTGTGATATCTGCTGGTGGTGGAAGCCAATGTGATGATCCATCATCGAGAAAAATGGGTAAGGGCGAGAGGGACTCGCTTTCTTGGCGTGTAGGTGAGCACGAGTGTACGCCAGACTCAGTCGTCAGCGGGACGGTCGTATGCAGTGCCATGAGACGGAAAAGGTGCTCGAGATGGAGAAGGTGGTGGTAGGAAGGAGAGAAAAAACAGCGAAGCAACGAGGGCTCTTGAGTCGGATTTGGACATAATATTGAAAAGACGAGAGAGGCTACGACCCGGCTTCGTTGTGCTTCTGTTGACAGCCTCAAGGTAGGCACTGCCACGTGGTTCAAAGGTAATTCAATGTACCGAGCTGATCCAGGACCAATGACGGTAAACAAGCAATGGTCGCCGTCACTGAGCCATCGTTTCCCCCCTACTACCTTGTATTTTCTGGCGAGAACAGACAACCAACGCGATGAAAGAAAATGTTTGATATTTGAATAGTCGATAAAGTTGGTATCCAAGTATCACTGAGTATGATGGGATGAACCTCGTACCATCAATGTCACTGAGAACTGAGGCCGAGAGGATACCGGATGCAGATAAAAAATGAAATGCAGGGAAACGCAATGCTTCATTGGCCTGTCTTCCTTGAGAGATCTTCAAGAAAGGTAAAATAAAAACACTTCTCTTTGTCCTAACGCAACGATCAAAGCGTCAGGGTTAAAAATCAGGACGTCGGCTCCTCAAGGAAATACATAACCTACTGCGTGATTTTGCTTGAACTATTCGATTAAGCACAACGTAAGAGTCATCGCACGTACCGCACTTGGATCTCTGCCGTTTGAATTCAGGATATCGATGGTAGAAAGCCGGTTAGTGAGTGATCTACTCCCAATCTGATCTTGATGGGCGTCCCAATTTCTCCACGCCGACCCCGAAGAAACCCCTTCGGCCACGTAAAAGCTGTGGTCACGTTTCAAGGTTCTTTGAGTTCCCAATGTGATTCCTCTGCTTCATTCTACGTAGGTCCGTTTTTATCCCCAGAGGAAAGCTCAAAGCCTGATCTCGAGCCGCCCGAAGAGAACGACAACTAAAAAAGAGGGAAGGAATCATTCGTCCAGGTTTCGCGCCAGTCTAAGTGGAGGAAACGTCGATGTCAGGCCGTAGGTAATCAGGAAGCTCGGCTGAAGAATTTGAATGTTGAATGGCAAGAACTATCTTGGCGCCGTTATCGGCCTCGGTCTTATCGGCTTTTCAATATCACGTGTACTCCAAGCGTACACGCGTCGGTCGTCCTGGTCTGGTCCGTTGTGTTGGAGTTTAGGTGATGACCATTTGGGAAGGAATCTTGTTCAACTCAAAAGTGAGGTATATTCCGACGTACGTCGTAGGAACAGTGGGGGTTGGAGTCAAGCCACGATAGGTACGAAATGACAAAGGTAAAGTAGTTGGTAAATGGTAAATATGTATAACTAGATTGTAGCGCTGAAGCCGTGAAATCGAGCCGTCGATATATCGAGGCATTATGAGTAGCACTATGGTAAGCAAACGGTAAGAGGAACATGTGAGGATACCGACTCTTGTAATATGCTGGTATTTTACTCATGGAAATGGACGGTCTATTTCCATTGTTAAACATCTATGGTCTGCAACTGAAAGGGGCCTGAAGAAGCACTCTCCAGGATTCATCCGTTAAAACCTTGATTTTCTGCCTCAAATATGAGAAGCTTGGAGCCTAAGATATGCTAATTCGGACAAAGCTCCAGCCGGGTCCGTACGTGCCAGACAGAGCTGTGGGCCAAATTCCGGTCATCGTTGCTCAAAACGACCTTTTCTGACTGAAATGTGTCACTTTCTCTCTCTTCCACTAGATCTCAATAAGCCTTCCCCTGAAATTCTATGCGCTTTGCCAATGACAGAGATGCCACCAGGAGCCATCATCCCAGAGGTTCTAAAATATGCTAACCGCGGACAAGGGTTGGAAAATTTGGTAAGAAATATGCTATCTACGGACAAATATTTCACTTTTTGTGGTCCTTAAATTTGCTTATTTCCAGACAAGCCTTGGCGGGAGCTTCCCGGGACCTCTGCAAAACGAAACATCCATGTTCTGAAACGACATGACTTCGACCCTCTTCGTGCCGTCTAAAAATCAAGGATAGCCTCCTGGTATATATTTTACCAAAGATGAATAACCAGATGGTATATCAGGACGGAAACCAGCACTCCGGATCGGAAATAGCAACAGATAACCAAACGCTATGATAGTATCCGTCACCGCACATACCCAAACATTTGAATCTGTATTGAATTCACATTAATCCAAACTACATTTCACAAGAAACCAGGTCGATGATTCAATACTACATCCCTTGAGAATAAATAATGATACGGCTCTGAGCTACAGAACCTTCGGGGGGGGGGGGGAATGGCGCGCCCCTGCCCAGTATCTATTCGGAACTTCACAGCAGTTAAACGATGGCATAGAAATATACCCGCTGAACCGGAAAATCAGCTAGGGCAGTCAGGCTCCCTGCGTCTGCTGTATTGTTGGTGCCATCCTCATCATTGACTGTATATCTTTTAACATCGTTAGTTCAAAACACGATAACGGAAAAGAAAACAACTCACATGAACTCATCTAGAAAAATACACTGTCCTGCAGCAACCATCGACACGACAACCTCGTGTGTCTTATTATCCAGCCCAGTCCTCGACCAGTGAACGGTGCACCGCTTCGATTCCGATCCCCCATCTGTGCGCCTTGCCTCAGGGCCTGTGCTATTCACGAATGTGCTATCTTTACCGTTGAGGATGACAGTCAATTTGACCAAGTACGATCATCGGGAGAGAGGAAGTGCACCACAATACCTGATGGAAGAATTGTGGTGTCAGAAAAAAAATTCCTTGTAGCGCAGAGCACGATAAATTACCGGTAAAGATGAGCGTGGATGTTGCAAAACGATCGCTTCTCAGTGCGTGGCTACCGTTGAAGTCCAACGCGGAGATGTGGCTGCTGCTCGCATCCTAGTTGCCAGTGTATACAATCATAGGATCCGTGTCATTGACAGTGATGTTACGTGGCACTCCATAGGATCTGAGAACGAACGATGACATGGCGATGAACAACGATACAAGATACATGAGAACGCAGAACAAGGGAGCGGAGGAGGCAACAAATGATAAGACGATGTTGATCTTTGAAGGTATAGGCAGCCTGCAGACCCATTTAGCATTGATTGGCTCCCATCCCCCAATTTTGTCGGCACAAATGAAATTTGATAGAAATGGCTCGCGGAACTGAAACAGCTTCCTAATACACGTTTCCGTCTGCTAGAAGTCAGATTTCGGCGGGGAGAATCCCGCTTCCGATCGGACGGAAACTGTATAAGGCAGTTTTTTTCAGCGCCCTTCGTGCAGAAAATCATGCATGACAGGAGTGAATCTGTGGGTCCAGAAGAATAGCATTGATGGGCATAGTGGCGATCCTTGTATTCTATGAGAGCGACAAGACAGGACACTTGATGTTATTATTTGACTTAGGATCCGGAAATTTGTCTTCGTCAGAAGAAGAATAAAGGCTGAGGCTTAAGCGCTGGAGCTGGAAACGAGATGTCCAGGTCCAATCAGTGTCGGGTATAGGCTTTGATCATGATAGTAACTTAGCATATGATCATAACTTCTCATAGCTCTTAACCGCACGAATGAAGAAGCATTCCTCAGAACAATGCGAATCTAGCTCAACGTTTACAAAAGAAGGTAAAGTAGTCAGCAAAGGCAGATAGATTTGTCGCATGCGCTATCGCCGCTACACCTCCACAACCGTCATCCGATATTGCGGTCAATCATTTGCATAAGAATCATCAACGAATGGGATCGCTCTCACACAACCTTGTGATGAAAGTTAGCTGCCAAGTCGTGAGGGAACAATATGGGATACCTTTGCAAGTTGCGTCTTGTCCAGAAATGAAGGCTGAGTAAAATCATTGTTTTTCCATAACGATGACATTTCGGGCGCTGACTTGGAGAGACGATGCCTCATTGATAGCTAAGAGGATCTTGCTGTGGGCTTGATGCGATCGAAAGGACCAAGAGCGAACCTTGAAGGAACCAACACCTGAGAACAATCCGTACATTTCGTACGGGGAGTGATCATTTTCATGGCCTTGCCAATTTAGAAGACACCAGGAGGAGCGTGGCAAAGATGCGCCGCAAAATCTGCTTCGATGTGCTAGTTGGAGCCAAAAAGTCAACGGCTTTTGGACTTTCATGTCGTGATTGAGTTGGAATGCATAGTGTACGCCACGAGCTAAAATAATGTCTGTCGACAACCTAAATGTATTCCAAGAGTGCCACAATTATGCACATAGAGTAGGAAATTCGATTCACACAACAGTTACAACAGTGACAAAGCAGGAGCGACTCATCTTCAACAGCATCCTTCACCAATGAGGCCGAGCGCTGGAACACAAAAGGTTCCGAATATCGTAGAGTAAGCGCCTGGTATCCTTGAACGCCTCGTCATTCCCCAACTTGGACGAGGCCCGAGTGTAAACGAAGCCTGAGAATTTGAAACCTTAGCAACAGCCGCAAATCAGAAGACTTGAAGGAGGATCACCAATCTGAGTTCTGCAAGGAAAGCTATAAAGCAGGAAGAACAGAGCGCCCTATGCTGAAGATCGCTTTTCAGTGCGGACATCGCTCCCATGGCCCACTGGTCCCATCATTCCTTGACGCCAAGGGTTCAAAGGTCACATATGTGTGAGCTGGCAGTTGGCATTGTCCATTATTACGGATCAACAGAGAATGTGTGTTTAACGGTCGAATGACCATGCACCATGATCAAATAATAAGAGCTGTGTTATCGCTCATTTGCTTGGGAAGTGTACCGAATAGTGTCACATTGTAATTGACGCGGAGCAATCTGGACTTGAAATCCAGTAGCGGCATTTGCCGGTCTACGATTCTTTCCTTTTGTACGGCTCATTCAAGAAGAATTAAGTAAAATACACCTCGATCAGAAAAGTACTTAGTGTTGCAAAAATCTCGCTCCGCAGCTTTGCCTCCAACTTGCATTTTGCACAATCTAGATCTCAGAGTGATATATGCTCTTCATTTGAACTGCTTGCCCCTGCATATGTGCATTAGGTCTCGAACAAGAAAATATTACGTACTATGTACTGTACAGTGTTTGCCGACCAATTGAGAGACATCGGGATTGAAGCATGCTCGGCCACAGGCGGCATCGACACTACCGTGAAGCCGTTGCGTGCCGCACGATCACCAATCACTCCACATTATATCAGAAGGCCCCGAGCATAGCCCCTCTGTCATTTCCCCCATTCTTCGGAAGGAATCTGGAGGTAAAAAGTATTTGGAATTGGTTTATTGAAATAATATAACATTTGGATATAACGCGCTAGGGTATGCCGTCGTAGCGCAATGGTAGCGCGTCGCTTTCCTATTTAGCGAGCTTAAATAGAACAACAGGCGAAGGTTGCGAGTTCGATCCTCGTCGTCGGTAATTGGAAATGGTTGTATGTCCTGCGGGTTATTGTTTTCGACCACTTGCTCAGTTGATGAACTTAGAAGGATCTTAGGATTTTTTTACCGCTTACGCGGGGCGAATGTCCCCAACCGCTAACACGAATACAAGTGCAATACTGTGAGCGGCAACTGCTGCTCTGGCGACGTCCCACGGTCCTGCATTTAGTTGAACGCATTCAAAGTTCCTTTCGTAAGCCGAAGTTGAACTGAATCATGATTAATAACTGGTATACGTTCTTGCCATGATATGGTTTGTTTTTGAAGTATTTTTTGTAGGTTATTGAGGAAATTCCCTCTTGAGTCTTCAAGGCTTCCCGAACAAAAAGTTAAGGGTTTACGTCGTTACAGCGATGTCTTTGTGGTAAACATCCGGTGTCTTTGCCACATTTCTTGGTTCGTTGTTCTTTGAACCTTGAATTGGAAGTCTTCTTTTCATCCCGAAAATTACAGATTCTACAAAAGCTGGACATGCCAATCGACTGCAGTTCTCTGGAGAACGACCGATGACATAGAAAAGGTCCAGGTCGTCATTGACAATGAGCCACCACCAGCCTGAGCCACTTTCCCCCCGAACAGTCACAGTATGCGACAGGAATTTCCCAGAATAGCAATCCCAATGACTTCGCTCTCGATTGTCTTTTGGCTTTAGCCGTAAAGACATGTCCCGTCGAGCTTTGACCAGGATCTATGACCAAGGAGCAACTGTGTCAAGAAAATTCAATATGCCAACAATCAATTCCCTACCTTTCGCCCGCTGTTATAAGAGGCCTGCAAGAACTTTGACCCCTTCCTCCACCGCCCGCTCATAGCGTCTTCTTCCATAATTCTTCCCATCGCCGCTGTCCCTCGCTATGTCGCACCAAACAACGTCAGAGTTGACTAACAATAGCACTGTTGTGAGTCTCACTATGATCACCTTGGTGGCATTCCCCCTACTGACGCATCGCTGATACAATTCGCGTAGCGGGTGGAATGCCGTTTCTGCGACAAGAACTACTCCTATAATGAAGGCCGCAACCGACATGAACGTACTTTTCATAGTGTCGAGTACGTGATTCAGTTTTAATTTCATGCATTCAGCCATTGATTTACTGTAGACTTGCCAATGTTCAAGTACACACTCATCCACGGTGAGCCTTCCATTCCCTAAGTTGTGATCATTCTCATTCTGACTTGCTTTACGATCCCGATCAGCACCGGGGTTAAATACTTCAAATGTACTATGCCAGGCTGTTCCTTCATGGCCAGAAAACTTGGTGCCGTCTGCAATCATCGCGAGACCTGTCATCAGATCCAGAATGATGAACAACCGGAAGAAATTCCAACCCAAGCCGAAACCGCTACTATCGATGACGACCTGGCCTTGGGCAGGAAAATCTTCTCCTTCCTGTACGACGAACAGGCCGTTTCATCTCAATCAACCAACGTCCCCTCCGTAGGATGGAACTCTTCGTTGGACGATCTTCCCCTGCCAAACTCATGGCAAAAATACACCCCAATTCGACTCGCTGAATACTTGAGATACGCCCCCAAGTCCGAGCAGCCACCATTTGATTCTTCGTTGAATACAGAAAGGGCGAGTATGGAAGAAATGCTGCTCGCCCTTAGTCACGTTGAAGACAGCGCCGTCCCTCTTGACCTCAAGGACCAGGGTGGAGATTCAGGCGCGAACGGCGGAGTCAATATGACCCCCTCATCGTCCTCGGAGTTTTCATTCTCCTTCGCTTCCTTTGACATCGAGGAACCACATTCGTCAATACCAATTAGTGAGAACCCTTGCAGGAACCGACAATACTGATATGGAAGCCTGAAGGGGGTTTCGCATCTTAACACTTTTTCCTACAGCATTTATTTCTTGATTTCACCATCCGGGATAGACTTTCATATTTGTTAGTAATGTAACTCGCAATAACACGTTATCATGGCCCGTACCTCTTATTCAAGTTATAAAGCGTGATAACATTCCAATTGAGGAGGAAAGGAGTCTCGTGAACTTGAGGTATGTTGCGTCATTCGTCGGTTTGCTCCCCGAACCAGACCGCACGTGAATAATCAACGATGGGCAAATCTGACCAATTAGTAATAGTACATTAGTACACGAGTAACGTCAAACAAGGAGTTCCCTGGGAATCACTTGCGCAGTGCTTTGGGAGATATCTACCGATGCCACCATTTGAAAGTTCTACAGTTCTTCAAAATATCCCGCGTTTGGAGTCGTCAACTCCGAAAAGAACGTTGAAAGTGACCACAATGATGGCTAAACGTCGATGGAGCGAACCACGATACAAATACCATGGACTGGAGGAGAAACTATGGTGACGAGCGATGCCAGGTTACAAAGGCCAATCTCGAGCTTCAAAGAGAATGGCGGCATCACGGCATCGGAGACCCGCCAGTTCGAGAACAAGTCTTCTGCAGGGCTGCTTATTCATTCCAAGGCGGAGTGGGGCACCCACCTCGAGATCGGACTCGATGTGAAGTGGGAGGAAAGGATACGTTGTAGGGTCCTTTGCAATACAAATAGAGCTCGAGTAGGGATGCGTACCGACTCATGATTGGAGGTCAGGAGTCAAGCAAGATGGAGATATAATTCGAGATAGAGCATGATAGACTGTTGAGAGATGGATATAGATAAAACTGGTAGAGTAATGCTAGGTGCATCACCGCGCACGGAGGGAGCCACAGGTTGGGTGAACGCCCTTTCATCGGCGCTAGTGCCTCTGGAACGAGGACGTCACCGGGTGCGGCGCCGAAAAAATCGATCACGTACCTCCTATTCTACTTTTTTTGTTAATATAAGTCACTGAGACACAATTTTTGGAAGGTGGTGCCCGCGTGCGTACCCAAATTTTGTCACTGTTGATCTAGGGTTGTCATATTGAGCCTTTGAGACGGAATTATCGCTTGACCCATATAATTCTGGACTGTGCACCTCCACTAAGACAGGGAGATAGACTCAAGACTCAAGACTCAAGACAGAATTTGAGGCATTTCCGGTTGAAATGAGGAAAAAAACTAACGCGTTCTATCACGTGCTATTTAGGGGCGGCTTGCTCTGCAATGTCAATCCCATTTGTTCACTCCCGTCCACACCAACAGTGCGAGTTAACTTGCAGATCAGCAGGGAAACTGGAAAAATAAGCGTGGCCACTCTCGTGCTCTTTTCGAATGGTCGTCCCCAACCGCTACTTGGCAACTATAAACATACCAAAAAGCTTTTCTCAACCTTTCCTGTCTTTTTCTACACTCGTATGATACCTCATGACTTTGTTCATACAAACTAATGCGTCGTAGCTGTTCTAAGAGAGCCTATTCAACTCCCAGTCTTTATTGCAGACCTGCTACGCTAGTGTTTGTTCGCTTTCTAGTCTAGCATCTATCTCAAATTCTTCCTGACACTCCTGTCGTGTCTGATTTTCCCCATGATGGAAATACATAGTGGTACTGAAAAAAAAAATCATTATACAGTTTCCGTCCGGTCACAAACAGAATTCTCTCCGCCAAAGTCTGATTTCCAACAGAAGGAAACATGTCTAAAGAATCATTTTCAGCTCTGCGATATTTCTAACAGCCATCTGGACGATATAGAGACCTAAGCAAGACATCAAAGGACTGATTCTAGGCTTTGGAATCCACGGATGACCAGTAATGCTAATAATTTCCTTGAGCAGTGTCATTAATACTTCGTATGAGCGCAGAGCGAAGATCCGTTCAAGGAAGACGTGCTTGTCCTATGATAACTTTTTTTGACGCTGAGTCACATACCAGGTCCCAGGACTTAAAGGCGCAGCCGCCCTTCCAATGTACTTGAAGCCATCTGCGTATATAATAGTATGGGTCGAATCTCTGAACACGCGAAATATCAGACCCCACCATGAGATTGTCTCGTTTACAGCCTGCTTCTGCGCACGATCCTTCTGATGTGTCTTCGCCTCTTTTAGATGTCGAGCAGCAAGGGGAGTCTGGAGTTGCTATAGATGGTGAAAATTGAGAAAAAGTATGCCCTCAATATTTGCCCAGAATTTTGAATGATTCGATGTGCTGCGGCTTGTGGGATTTCTCGGGCCGCTTGACCTTCGTATCACGTCTACGTTAATACTGATGTGCCTTCTCGGCTAATTTGCTCGATCGACTACTGTACGCGGATTCATTATGAATTCGACCAAGGTAGATACTCATGCTGATCATAGGGAAACGCCAAAATCTTGAACATCAATATAGGTTTATAAGCTCGTCAAGGTTCTGTATATGACATATCACCAGTTATTTATGGTGCTAACGGTCTTTGTTATACCATTTGTACTATTCGAAACCCCATCGAACTATTTGTTCAAATATTTTCACCTACTGCATTGGCTTGCGTTTATCATTCTAGGTTGGGGAACGAAGGATATGATCATGACCACACCTCAGAACTACAGCATATTGCTTGGTTTGCGGATCTCGCTTGGCACATTCGAGGTAGGTCCATTGAACTTCTTGTAGCTTCAAATAGTTGCTGATAGACTTACACTGGCCTCTCCCCCCATAATGGTCGATTTCGTTGGGTTGTATGTCATTAATTCTTCTCTTACCTGGTATCCTGATTGCCATCTTATCTTTTATAGCTAGTACATACTTCAAGAACGTGCCCTTCGGTTATCGTTCATAATAGTGACTGTACCTCTCGGGCGCATTCAGTGGGAGTATAGCGTATGGCGTCGGACTTATTAATGGCACTCGATGTTTGGAAGTCTGGCAGTGATTGTTCATTATTGAAGGTGCACCGTCAAGCTGCCTCTCAGTGATCGTATAAATTTCCCCCTCTTACCTGGAACGGGAAACACGGCTGTCCTCCAACGATCGAACGATCGCTATTTCTAGGACTCGCAGGAGGCGTTTAAGTCGATGAAAAATTAAAGAAACCACCGACCTCCTTTAAAGCGTGCCATGTAATGCTATGCTTAAAAACAGCATTCATCTTTGCGTGTACTCTAT